CTCCCCACTGAGCAGGGAGCCCAATGCCGGACTCGATCCCACAACCCTGGGATCATGACCTGAGCCAAAAGCAGACTCTTAACTGACAGCCACCCAGGTGCCCCTGATCTGTTTTATTTTTAATTTTTCTTTCTCTGTTGGCTCCTTTCTTAGATACAAACAAGCTATATATCTCCTCTCTTATGTCACTCCTTCCTCCTTAAATACTATCTAAAATTCTAAGTTCCTTTAATGCCAAACTCAACTCATTGCAATAGAAATTCTACCCACATCACACCACTGAAGCCACTCAAGGATAACCATAGTCTCCATGCTTGAGGAGCCCAAGGATCCCAAGCTCGATTCTTGGAACAGTCTGTTAGACACTGAATGGTTTTGTTCCCCTCAAATTCCTAAATTGAAGTTCTAACCCCCAGTGTGATGTCATTAGGAAGTGGAGCCTTTGGGAAGTAATTAGGGTTACAGTAAGTCCTGAGAGTGGGGCCCTCATCTGGGTTTGGTGCTCTTACAAAAAGTGACACCAGATAGTTCTCTCTCCCTCCTCTTCCCCTTTCCCTCTCTCTCTCCCCATGCTTGCACAGAGAAGAAGTTATGTGAGCACACAGCTAGAAGGCAGCCATCTGCAACCCAAGAGGAGAGATCTCACCAGAAATCAACCATGCTGGCATTCTGATCTTGGAATTCTGGCCTCCAGAACTGTGAGAAAATAAATGTCTGTTGTTTAAGCACCCAGTCTGGGGGATTTTACTATGGCAACCCAAGCTGACTAAGACAGTCTCCTCCTTGGTTTCCAGGATACTGCAGTCCTCCTGTTTCCCCCATTCTTTTTGATTCCCTTGTGTTTATTGCCTTCAGGTTTTCCTTATTTATCTTCTCTCTCAAGTGCAAGTGTTCCTAATGTTCTTCCTCCTACTTTCTTCTTTTCTTATGTCATAACCACTCTTTTGGCCACTTTAAACATTCTGACAATTAACCGTCAAATCTAGAGCTCTGGCTCAGACCTTTCTTTTGAGCTCCTGACTTAAATTTCTAAATAACTTATGGCTGCCTCTATTTGGCATGCCTTTACTGCATCTTCAATTGATAAGTCTGAAACCTAGCTCATCAACATCTCCCCAGTTCTACATCTGTATTCTACCTTCATGCTCGCTTTATTTTTCCAGTCACACAGGCTCAAATCATGAGAGCTGTATTCTAGTTTTTATTTCTTCCTTCCTCTCTGCAAACCAATAATCCAGCTCTAATGAATCAAGCTCAAAAAACTTTTTCATATTCATACCTGGGGTTTGACTTTCTATTTTAAAACTCTTATTTTTAAACTGTCATTTCGGTTATTGTAGCACTCTATTAACTAGTCTTTCGGTAGTCAATCTCTTCCCATAAAGCTTACACATGACCATAAAACATCACAAAAATCTTTAATGCACCTTGCAGTTTACATAAAAAATACCTAAGCTGCTTCTTAGAACATTGATTATTATCAATTATTATCAGTAATCTGTCCTCTTTCTGTAGGACAAATTTGCCCACCACTACACCTCTCCATGTACTTCATTCATACCAGATTCCAAAGTGTGGCTAGAAAATGCATTCACATTTCTAAATTTTCATTTACATGATATGCAAAATGGTCTCATCATAGCAGTTTCTCCTGTTGAAAAACATCCTTTCAGGCCAAGTTCAAATGCCACTTTTATTAAGAAATTTTGTCCTATCCTTCAGCAGATACTGCTCCATTAGCTGGACCTAATCTCTTTCTTCCCTGACACTCAAAATGTTATATTGTGGCATTATGGCACCTAACCCAGTATACTTAGTTATATTTTGTGTGTCTCCCTTACTATATCACAAGATTGGTACAGTCAGTGCCTGCTTCTTGTATCTTTTTTTTATCCTGAATATTACCTAGCACCACATCAAGTACCTATGTGATTTTAAGCTCACTGTTGAAATAATGACTGATTGAATAAATGAATGAACAAACAGCTGATCATCTGTAAATGTTACTATCAAGTAGTAAAATTCTATGACAAATACTTAGATAAAATCTTCTAATATTTACTCTAAAAACAAGGGAATAGTTACAATACTTTCATTTTTTTACAATACTTTTAAAGCCATTTATTGTTATGATTACAGGAAAAATAATTTCAAAATGACAGATTTTCTCATTTATAAGCTTATTAGAATAGTGACTGAGTTCTTTCTATGAAAGAAAACATGTTATTTCTATTTGATTGTGATGTCTGTTGGTTCCCTATCATATTTCCTTTCATAATCAAAGGAAGAAAGACAAATTAAAAGGCATACCCAGGGCATAATCATGAATGCTGCAGGCTTAGTGACCTCTACTTATGGACAAAAAATGTTTCTCTAGCAGACCAAGAGGAAAATTTCCTCAGAGCATCATTCCATTTAGTATGTCACTTAGCTTTTGCACTCAGTAGAAACATACATTCAAATGCTTAAGAAACAATTGCAAGAACATAATAATATTCTATTTATTTAGGAACCTATCCTCTTTTTTTTTTAAGATTTTATTTATTTGAAAGAGAGAGAGTGCAAGCGGTGGGGGGGGGCAGAGGGGGATGGAGAGGAAGGGGGAAAGAATCTCAGGCAGACTCCAGGTTGAGCATAGAGCACAGGGGCAGGGCACGATCTCAGGACCCTGGGATCATGATCTGAGCCAAAACCAAGAGTTGATGGCTTAACCTACTGAGCCACCCAGGTGCCCCCAGGAACCCAGTTTTAAAATTACTTCCTTGCATCAATCTAATGCCTTTTTGTGATTGTAATTGTTTTTAGTTTTGCATGCAAAAGGCCATAGGGGTGAACTGTCACATTTCAGCTCCATGTGCCATTAGATTGGCACTCATTGAGGTTATTTACCCAGAAAATAACTAGAAGTGTTAGTTTGACATTTTGTCATTAATATGTCTATTTTTTAAAAGGAGCATGTCATTTACATAATATTAATTTTTCAGTTGCATAGTGTTAACTCATTTTGCTCAAAAGGAAGTAATTTGGATCTAAATAATTTACTTAATTATGAATGCCATTCCCAAGAAAGAGAATTTTACCACTGTCTTTATATTAGGTTAAGCTTAAATATTTTCCTATCAGAATACATTAAGTTACTTCAGCTAAAGAAATTAGAGATGTCAAAGGCAATTATGCTATTCAATCGATCTTCTAGGGTAGGATTATGTTTAATTGGGCATCTAACTGTAAGTAACCCAAACACCCAATTTATTGGTTAAACTCCTCCTAAATTACATTTCAGAAAATGTAAAGCAAGTGCCCAGACCTTTGGATTAAATTTAAAAACTGCAGAAAACTTTGCAAAAACAGACCCACGACGTCATCCCTCCTAAGTATCTCAGAAACAGCCTCTTACAAGGATGTAGTCAGACTTGCAACTCCTCACAATAATATTCAAGCAGATAGATCAGTTGGAAGCTCTTCATTACGGCAGCTGTTGTGTGTTTACAGCTACATATGCAGACTGCCGAACACCCTCAGTGCACCATAAACGTAGGAATTACACATCCAGAATGGTAATAAACTCATTGGGTGACGTGCTCTCCAGAGTTTTCAGCCCCTTTGCTCCAGTTGGCAAAACTCTGCTAGATTTTAGTTGCTGTAGAAAAATATTAGATTGTTGTGATTTTTGTAAGTTTGGAGACAAACCAGAAACACATAAAACAGCAATAAAAAAGGTAAAAACATAGGCACTGAGATTATTATTTTAAAATGACAGTCTCATAGAGAGTTATAAGAGAAGCCACAGAAGAATAAATGAGAAAAATAAGTAAATAAGTGGCTGTGTTCCATAGAAGGTTAGCCTCAAATACTCTCTGTGGGCCAGCTCAGCTGAGGGGTACATCCTGTAAATCATACTAAGAAAGCTGCAGGCTATTAATTAGAAGTATATTTCCTACCATAATAATCTGAGAGTGTTGATAAATTATAGCTAATAGTTGAGCAATTTATTGGTTAAACAGTACTTCCTAGAAAACCAATCCAATTTAGAACAAGCTGATTTCTCTCTTAAAAGCAGGATCTCAAATAAAATTGATTTCTAAATTCATAATAGTGAAAGGGATATTCTCAGGCTTATAAGGAAAGAAGTTCCATGTACAAGAAGATGATCAGAATGTACAACAATGCCTGGCTGCAAGAGGGTTGTTAAGCATTGTTAAAGTCACACCAGCTTATCCCAGCAGTAAGCACTGTGTACTATTCATCAGTCACTGCTCTTGGACAGATGCTTATGGAGTTCTAGGTACAAGTGTATATAGAATCATTGGGAGAGCTTCCCTAAACGCATATCCCTGGGTACCAACACAAGATATCCAATCACATAGGTCTCTTCTTTCATTAATGGTTGGAACAGCTTTCAGAAATGACCGTCACCAAAAATCACGTGAAAGTTTCTGAAGAACCATAATAAAGGCAGAAAAATCAGAAACATGGAGGTGCATAATGGTCGGTGGTGGAATGGAACCCTCATAAAGCCATATGACATGGGACAAAGGAAATCTCTTAGTGTCTACAAACATTCCAGTTTAAAAAGTATTTTCTCCTTTCTCACTGTGTTTCTTCCCACTCCCTCCCTCTTAATGAAAATTGTTATGGTGCCATTTTACATCTGGACTCTGTGGCTATGGTCTATTATTTTTTTCTCATTTCATGGCACTGTTCATTTGCCTTCATGCTCACTGATGAGTCCCTGCCAGGGGCTGCTCCTGATGGCATGCTGGATAGCATGAAAAGCCTGGCAAGGGAAAAAAATGACTAAGCAAATTTTACTATCAGTGTTTTATTTAGAACTTGAAATGGATATAGCAATGAGTAAGCCTGCATTATGATCTTAATCCTTAACACTGAAAAAATTATTTATTATTTGAAATAATAATAATTCCATGGATTAAAAAAATATTTTTTCCCATAGACTCCTTCATCTGATCCTCAAACCAATTATATGATTTCTGTTATAGATGCCCATGGTACTGCTTGGCAAGTAAAGATACGAAACACAGAGGTTTAAGGCCTGTACATTTTTTGACATAAGGTAAGATGAGAAATTTCATGCCAGTTAAGACCTAGGCAAAGACTATCTAACCAAATAGAATTACACTTACAAGTCATAGAATTTCACAGTGACTGAGTTTCCTCACTTATAAAATGGGAGAAAATAACACCTATTCCCCTTCTCTTGCTGGCTTGTTCAGGTGGGTGAAAAACATATACAACAATGTATATGTTATAATTATTTATACTAAAATTCTTCACTTTTAAAGGACTGTTTAAAAAAAATTAACACTGCTAATGGGGAAAATTGAGGAATTTTTAGATGGTTCAATTACCTTTAGAACTTCAAGTATCCGTGTCAGTGTGGAGCTCCTCACCTTTATTTAGCTTCTTATTTCTTTTGATGCTTTATGGCTCAGAAGCAAACCATTCTGGTTGTGACCTTGCAGTAGAAGAAGCACAGCTCATGTGTAGCATTATGGAACATCTTTATTACAATATCCATTAATGCTCAATAAATAAGAGGGGCATGGTAGGACAGTTGCTTAAGGGAACTTATTCCAGGACAGACTTCCTGCTAGTTGCACTCAAATTATGAAATAGTCAAATTTCCCCAGGTGCTGAATTTCCTTCCTTCCAACCCATGATTAGTAATGGTGAAACTCCAGAGTGATAAAAATAACTCAGAAACTTTATTCAATCATAGTCTAAACTAGAAATTAGAACTAGAGTTTGCATCTTAAACCCAGACCTCAGAGAAGTGTTGATGTTCCATAAAGGTGAGGACCCATGTAAAAGGAAAAAATTATTAGCAGAAAAGAAGCTGAAGATTCTAGGTAAGAATAAGGATATGCTCAGCTGGTTGTTGCTTCATGCTCCTTGCTTTTCAAGGAATGAAAACAAAGAGACTTTTAGTATTCCTACTGCAAGAGAATGTGAAATTTGGAAAAAAGGAGAAAAGATTAAGAAAGGAAATGAAAACTGGAAGAATATGGAAATGGAAGAATATGATTTAGTCAAAGAGAAGCAAAGAGAAAAGGGAGAGGAGGAGGTAAAGCTGGTCAGATAACTCACTTGGCATTCCCTGCCCCTGGCTTCTTTCTTCGGAAAATGTTGAGGAAAGTGTTGGAGTGGCAGGGCAGCTTGCCATCACCAACATGCATGCGGACTACGTCAGAGGTGGTGAAGGCACTGCGGACATTCCTCTCAGGCTTGGCAATAATGATGTACATCTTGGGAGTGAACATGCACCCCAGGGCCACCGTTACACTGAGGCTCACTGCAAAGCAGGTGGTGATGATCTTGTAGTTGCTCCCAAAGTAAATGGGCACAAAAGCTAGCCAGATGATGCAGGTGGTGTACATGGTGAAGGCAATATATTTGGCCTCATTGAAGTTGGCGGGCACATTGCGGGTCTTGAAGGCATAATAGGTACAGCTCATGATGAGGAGTCCATTGTAGCCCAGAGGGGCCACCACACCCAGGTTGCTGGTATTGCAGATAAGGTAGACTTCCTTGATACTTGGGTAGGACAGGATGGGCATGGGGGGCTCCATGATGATCAAGGTTACCACCAGGGTTAGCTGCACGCTAATCAGAATTGAGGCAATGATCACCTGGGCCCAGGCGCTCATGAACCTGGGCTTCCGGGTGCAGATCTTCTTCTTGCTGCCAGCTAGGATACGTGCAATTCGGTTGGTTTTGGTCACTAAAGCAGAGTAGCACATGGCAGAGGAGAGGCCAACCAGAAGGCGCTGGAGGTAGCAGGATGTGGTGGTAGGTTTGGCAATGAGAGTAAAAGGGCACACATAACCAAGGAAGATTCCAGCTAGGATAATGTAGCAGAGCTCCCGACTGGAGGATTTGACCACTGGTGTGTCTCGGTATAGCACAAAGATGAGGGTAACAAACAAGGTGACAAGTATGCCCAGGCAGGAAAAGGCGATGGCTATGATGGATTCTATGTTGCTCCACTCAAGATAGCGCACAGGAATAGGTTCACAGCCTGTAATGAGAAAAATAGTTTTAATTTTTTTTTAAATTTTTTCTTTTCAAGTAGGCTTCATACCCAGCACGGAGCCAAGTGTGGGGTTTGAACTCACGACCCTCAGATCAAGACCTGAGCTGAGATCAAGATTCAGATGCTTAACCTACTGAGCCACCCCAGTGTCCCAAGAAAAATAGTTTTAAAATCCAAGATTTCTGCTATCAATAATAACACTGCTTATTAGTTACCAGAGACATAGCTATGTTCACATCTTCCACATTTTGTGTATTTTATTTCTTTTTTTTTCTCAAAGATTTTATTTATTTATTTGAGACAGAGAGTGAGAGAGCACGAGAGGGGGGAGGGTCAGAGGGAGAAGCAGACTCCCCGCTGAGTACGGAGCCTGATGCAGGACTTGATCCTGGGACTCTGGGATCATGACTTGAGCTGAAGGCAGTTGCCCAACCAACTGAACCACCCAGGCACCCAACATTTTGTGTTATTTTAATTATTTTTTAAAATGCCTCATTATTACACTAATATATATACATCATTGTCTTATGAAGACAATTGTATTCCCAAACCTGATCTCACCACAAGACTAATGTGACATACTTGAGCCTATAAAAATAATCTTTTCTCCCAACACCAGCTTTACAAATGGATGCCACTCTGTGGGTGGAACTTCGTTCTACACTTTCAGAAAAAGAAAAAGAAGGAAGCTAAACTGTGTTTCCCGGGAAGGTTAAATAGTGATAATGTAATAGAATACGTTAGTAAGAAATACACTAACAAAATTTTTATTTTCACGTAGCTATTGTCCAGAGCTAAGTCCAGCTCATAGACAAGTACTGTTTTGGCCGGCAGAGTGTTTTAAACATAAATTTTATTTGAATTCTTTAGAAGAATCTACATTTTCCCATTTATTACATATTACTCACTTTGTCTCACCCCTTGAGTTATGTATGATCCATCTGTGGCATCTGAGGGCCTTGAGTTATCAGCTTCTACTAGACATACCAAGGAAGGATGAAATCTCCTGTCATCCATCTCTTGAAAGGAGAGATGTTCCTAAATACCTGGCTTATCTTTTCCCTCAGATGGAGAATAAAGTCTGTTTTGTATTTCACGGAGAGAGAGAAATTTGTCAGGTCCTGGAGATAACCCCTTCATAGAACTTTGTGTTTGGTCTGGGCCAGTATTTCCCAAATTGTGAGAATAAAAATATGTCCATGACTTTAAGAAAAGACTCATTGTTCTACGGCCATGGGAACAGGAACCATCAGAACCTGTTTTACTCCTGTTTAGTCAACAACAGCTCCCCTCAATGAACATGATTTCTGCAAGCCAATCAGTCAGTGTTAACCCTTGCTTCTGATAATCACCCAAGTAGGAACAGACTCAAGGCAATAAACAAGCTCCAGCCATTCACAAGCACACAGTCTTGACTGATCACAGTGGTCCCTCTCTCTTGTGTGTCAGGGGTTTATCTATGTCAAAGTCTCAACCTCTTCCTGGGAGAACTTGCGCTTCCTCTAAAAAGTCACATTTTAATCCTAAATCTTCTCATTTCCTTGCAAATTTTAGGAAAATGATTAGATAGATAATTTAGAATAAGAAGAACTATTATGGGGGGCTTTTGATAGAACATATTCAATTAATTAAAATATTTAAGAGTGGCTGTAAACAAATAAGGAGATAAAATACTGAATAGTCAATACTAAACTTTTTTAGTTGGCATCCTGAGCTTGCTAAATAAAATTCAAATTCCAGTGTAGTCTCTGTCAAGGCCTTTATAATCTGAAAGCTAACCCTCTTTTCATTTCTTTTTCTGTGCAACTTTACCTGGTTTTGTAAATGAGCTAGTCTTTCCTTAGAGTTTTCATTAGAAAAGAATATTACATTTTATATTTCTAGAACACAAGTCAGATCTATGGAAGTTGAATTAAAACCCTGGTCTAGAGCCAAATTAAGAGCTATAATTAATGATTTTCCTGAACTTCAGGGATACAGGCAAAATATTTTCTGTAGAATTCAGGATTTTTATTAGATGCTTATTGTCGTACACTATAGATATGTACCAATTAACTCAATTAATTGTTAGCCTCATGGAGTAAAATGTTTAAACAGAAGACTTAAATAACCTAGTGTTATAAAGTTTAAAAAATAGAAAATGCATTACATAAGGCAATTTTGAAAGCTTTTCTTTCAACAAAGATGCAAAATTATAAACTAAATAAAAAGATAGACTTTATGACATCTTCAGACAATTCTGAGGTAGACTCAACACCTGACAAGAAAAACTATACCTTTTCTTTTTGTAAATGGGCTCAGACCTGAATTAGGAGACCAAACAGAAGAAAATGTTAAAATGTAAAATTACTAACTTAGAAAATATCCAAAAAAAAGAAAATATCCAATATGTGATTAGACATTTCTAGATAGACTTAAAAAGTAAATAAGCCAGAAATCAATATAGTTGTGGATCTTTAGGTAAAACAACCAAAAGAACCTCTATTCTCTATGATCTGGGAACCTGTAGATAAGGAAACCTAGAGATACTTCAAACAGAAGTGTCATTTAAAGAACCAATGTCCCACATTAGCTAAAATTCAGGCCTATTACTTGAAGTCTGTCCAGTGACTTAACTCCATGGCAAACACTGGTACCCAATAACTCCTTGTCCTTCCTCTGAACTCCCAAGGGAAGCAATACCTCTTTTTTATTGATACAGGTGTCTTTATGTCCACCAGTAATCTCACTACAGAGAACATCAGATAAATTGGTTTAATAAAACCATAGAAATGGTGAAAATCTTTAACAATCTTATGCCCCAACCCACAACTGGTACTTTGAGATTATTATGAGAAGGATACACTATTCTCTGTGACACAAAACCCACAATTTTAATAGGTAGGATTAACTTCTAGACAAAATGTACTATGGTTCCCTACAGATGATCAAATTACAGCTGCTAGTCATGAAAATACCTACACTATGTATAATTAAAAAAAATTATCTAAGGAATATGTTAGCCCCAGAATCCCTATGGATAAAAGACTTCACAGAAATAGGAAGATGGATTGGAACAGAGCACATAAACATATTGATTATCATATGTACCTAGATTATCATAAATCTTTCTTTTTGTGTAAATATAAAAATGATACACCATAATCTAGATGTATTAACTCAACAGCATAGCACATATCAAAGAACCATTGCTCATTGTGGTAGGCTCACTGTAAAAAAAAAAGGTACCGTAAAAGTTATAGATACTATAAAAATACTTAGAAATACGATAGAAATATTTTAGAGATTATCATGCTAAGCAGACTGCTCTGACTAAAAATCCTAACAAAAGCATTTCATATAAAACAAATAATTTATGATAGTAACAAATTCATGAAGAAGTTCAAGTATTCAATTATAGATACACAAAATGTGGCCAGAAAAGAAGTTCTTAAAAGAAATTCCAGAAATTTCATGACTGTGTTGTAAGATTCATGAAGATAATGTCTGACAAAACCAAAATGGCTATCTGAGAGTACCAGATAAAATATCTACCAGGCATTGGCTAAAATCCTGATGGAACAAATGAAAGAATTCATTTCAGTAGGGACAAATTGGCCACAAAATTAAACACTATTGGGGAAACATTTTTCCAGGATAGCAGATGTGGCCAGTTCATGCTTCATTTGTAATTAAATCAATTAAGACAAATTGTAAAGGTGGAGGCATTAACTGAAACAATTGCAAAAGAACCTCTGAGTTACTCCAAAGGGATTGTATACAGTTTTCTCCCTCTGTGGTTTGTGAATATGTACTAGTTTAAACAGTGTGTTTATTTTGCAGATGGGTTGAAGCATTCTGTTGAAAAGCTACAATACTTACAAAGGCTAAAATATGATTAGATTTTGTGGTCTTAGCACATTCCAAGTTGTCAATCTAGTGATATGAGAACATTTTCAGTGGAATACTTATTCATGAATTTAAATTATGCAAGGCTGTCTTCATTCCCAGCCCTCTGGACAAATGAAAAGGAACCTTAATATTGGTGAAGGTTACACCCCTTAGTGATTTTAAACTGAGGTTCTGCAGAGAGCCTCCAGAAGCTGAAGGCACATGGAAGTTGACTGTTTACTGAAGAACTTTATAGCAAGCTGATGACTATACAATGATCTTCTGTGCAAGATCATCTGAAGAAGAGTCCTACATATATCATATTTCCTTTGTATACTCTTTCTTACTCATACTTCTCTTCTTTACTGATTTAAAACTATATAAATTTGAGTTTGCCTTTAGTATTCACCTTACTAGTAATAAGTATTTGCCTAAACCTATGTTTTACTAGACAATCATTAACTCAATAATTCAATTATATCAAGCTATTGTTAGGTATATCTCACTAACTTCCAATAATGATATTTTTGTATATGCAAAGATTCCACAAGTTCAGATATTTGAAAGGACTCAGAAGATTCATAGAACATACTCATGTAATGTTTTTTACTTAAAGGCAAAACGTATAACATAGTAAGAGAAAGACAGTGCAGGTAAGCACCAAGGGGCAAAGGGATATCCCAGTGCAAGCTCTCTAAGATCCTTACTCTCACAAGGGCACACTTCATCTTTGAACTGAGAGCTCAAGGCAGAAGTTCCCAGTGAAGTCTTTTAATGACCTTCAAGTCATATGGCCAAGTAAGCCCATCTAATATGCCAGCTGAAATCCATCAGTAAACAAACTGATTTTGGTTGTTACCAGTGGAGCTTCAAACTCAAAACTGCATTTAAAAAATATCAGTCCCCTTAATGTAGCCAAGAGTCAAAGACAGGTAGGTACTCAGGCATCTCCACAGATAATCAGCTGTCCAAGCCTAGCTGTAAATTAAGCCTAGTCTACACAGTGTACCATACACAAATGAAGAAAAATATGCTTATGTTAGGAGATATGAGTATTCTGTGCTTGTAACAGTACCATTTTGTCAACAACACCCCAAAACAATATGCTTACAACTCTACTGTGATTGCTTTATTTCTTCTGAAGATCCTAGATTCTTTTCCCTATGGGGAAACCAGACTTTTCAATGACAGTCCAGGACCACCCAAAACAGTCACTTGAGGATAGGGACTGATAATTTATATTTTGAACCAGCTTTGTTTTCTCCTTCTTTTTCTTCTTTCCTTTCCTTCTTTTTTTTTTTTTTTAGACATCCTAAATTTCAGAAGCATTAGCTTTGATTCCTTGAGAGAATTTGCTGTAATATCCATATTGTCCATATATATAATATAATATGTAATGTACTTTTCTGTCCTGTATTTGAGGTTTAAAGAGTTGTCCAACCCCCGGATGTGTTTGGGTATCCCAAGCCTGGAAGGAGTGGGAGTTACCTTCAAATAGTGGTAAAGACTGTCCTGGCCCTACCTGACCCCCAGCAACCAAAAGCAAAAGACTTTATGTGAGTTGCGCATACTCTATCTAAAGCCTCGAAAACTTAGGGATCTGGCATTATCTGTGGTTACAGTTTTCCCAGAGAATTCATAGCTATCAGACAAGTCCATTTCCCAGAGAATCCAGAGCTATCGGACTACAAATTCCTGAGCAAAATCTAAGAGAAGTAGTAATAACTCTGATCTGAGGTACAGGAAGTTACTCCTAATTTTTTAAACAAATATTGGTTCACTTATAAGATCCAAATGCATTGGAGGAATGACAATTTAATACTGGGTTTTTTCCCAATTAGGTTAAGACAAATTTAATATGAATCAAGAAATAAAGTCCACAGTTATTCTACCCAAAAGGTCTTTGGACATTTAATAGCAGTTACAATAATACTTCATAATCAATAAAGCATCATCAAAATGCTTTCTTTAATGTTATTACATTAATATCAATTATCTACAAGGAGAAATTCTGTTTCATGGTCAGTGTTCAACTTTAATGTCACCCCTGTCTATTTTTCATGTGAAGAGACTAAAAAAAGAGGGGCGCCTGGGTGGCTCAGTCGTTAAGCATCTGCCTTCGGCTCAGGTCATGATCCCAGGGTCCTGGGATCGAGCCGCACATCAGGCTCTTTGCTCAGCGGGAGGCCTGCTTCTCCCTCTTCCACTCCCCCTGCTTGTGTTCCCTCTCTCACTGTCTCTCTCTCTCTGTCAAATAAATAAATAAAATCTAAGAAAAAAGAAAAAGAAATAAGTAGCATCAGATTACATATAATTGGTTCATGGATTGTTAAACTACTGTCAAGTTTTATATTGTGGCAGAAGAGATCCCTGTTTATGCATCATAAGAAATAGAGTGAAATTTAAATGCTGAATTAAAATGTACATTTTCCCAAGAAGAAAGTATGAGAAACTTATTAACAGCTTCAGAAAGTGCTTCCTCTAAGTAGTATACCATTTTTTTCTTTATAGCCAACAAACGATATATTCTAATGAAAACAATAACACATTTATAAACATGTTTTTATTCATTAATATTAGAGCCTTTGGAGCATATATGGAAAGTAACTATCTCATAAAATAATTTTATGCGTATTAACAAGCTTTATCTTCAGTAAAAACACCATATCCTAAAGAAGAGTGATTTCTCATTTTAACTAAAATTCAGTAAAAAAAAAAAAAATCCACCTGTGAAAACAAAACACCTACTTAAAGGCCATGCATTTACTCCTCTGAGTGTTTCTACTGGTTTTTGGTATTCTCTGCCTGTGGGTTTTCTCTTTTCTCAACTACTGCTACCATGACAACAACCAACAACACATTGCCACGTAGTGCACACTTGCTCTGAGCCTGACATGGCACCAAATGAGTGGCAAATGAGACCTCTTTGTCCATTCATGAGTAAGACTGAAAGGAATCCAGAAATGACAGGTGTCACTGAAACTAAGTATAAACTAAATCAGAGATGTGTACTCTGAAAGACCCAAAACATAAGATTTGCACAATAATCAAATATATGATCCAAAAGTAGCTACTTGCCTATTGCTATTAGAAAAGGGCAATCTGAGTTGTTGCTCGGCTCAACTCATTTGAACGCTAACGTGACTTTTATGCATGTGAAGGATGATAGATTAAATATTTTAGAAAGATAATCACATTAAATAAGTATAGTGAAGGAGGATTTTTCTTTTATGCTTTACTCACTCAAAGAGCCTTAAATCAATGGTGATCATCATTTGGCAGTGGGAAAAAAATATACCCACAATGGGAGATCTCTAGGGAATAAAATATATGATTTCGAGTTCCATAATTATAACATATTGGATCTTTTGAAAATGTTTTTTGTATTTTAATGTCTTAAAATAGGATAGAAGTTCTTTACCAGGCATGAGATGAGCCCCAATCAAAGTAAAAATGGAGCAGTAGGAAAAATTTGGGGAAGCCCAAAAAAATGTAGACAAGAGAAAAATTCTTACACCTCAAAGCCAGGACTTCTGATTTCTAAAATCAACCTGAGAAAGGCTAGCTTTGTCTTTGAACCCTTCACAGTCAGCTGTAGTCTCAGTCAAATAGCAGAGAGGACTGACTAGTAAGTCAACCCCCTATTTGATTTAAAACGGCCCAGCAGGAAGCACACACTATGAAGGAGGATAAAGATGTGAACAGAGGCATAGCATGAGTGGGAGAGAAGACTTGTTGTCCAAAAGTGGCTGAAAAAGGTTTTCCAAGCCAGTCTATTGCATGCAACCAGGAGATAAGTTAGACCCAGGGATAAAAACCCTGGATTCTCATAGTGGCTTCTCTATTAACCAAATGCACTGAACTGGATGAACTTAGGTAAGTCCCTTCTTCTTTCTATTTCTCTCAATAGAACATTTATTAGACAGCTATTATATCCTAAGCACTAGACTATGAGCCAGAGATTAATGTTTCTCACAGGATGGGACAGGAACCAGGTGCCTCAGAATTTGCTGGGTCCCATCTAAGAACTGGTGAACAGGAATCTCTGCAAGTGGGTAATACCTGGGTAATTTTTAGGCATATTAAAGTTGAAAAGCAGTTTTCTGTGACAGAATAAAAATATGAGTGAGATACAGTTTTTATCTTCAAATGTATTCTAATCTAACTTCCTTCTCTTTAAAAAAGGTCTTTGTACTAAATAATTTCTAAAAGCTTTCTAACACTCATTTTAGATTAACTTTTTCTAACAAGATTACCATTTTACAAGGTACTTTCACTGAATAAGTAAAATTTTAATTATGTGACCTGGTTCTACTTACCCAGCATTTTTGATGTGTTCTGAATAAGTCATACAATTTCTTAGCTGCTATTCGTATTTGGAAACAGGTGAAAAAGTAAAAAACAATCAGAAATGTTACCCTTCATAATTATTTTCAACAACACCCAGGGATCAGGAGTCAGTGAACTGGGCTCTGCTTTTAACTATTTGCATGACCTTGGGCACACAAGTACACCCCTTTGGGCCTCAGCTTCCCCTTTCTAAAAGGAGGGACGAGATCACTCACATGACAAAGTCTTTATGTACTCAGATGACAGTTTCTATGGCTCTATTACTCTTAAAATTTGTGAAAAGTATTTGTGAAACATCTCTCATGTGTGAGCTCATATCAGGATCCATGGAAAACAAAATTCATATATTTGAACATTGCTCTTATGAAATTTACAAACTCATATAATCCATCCATATGATATCCATTGATTTTACTAGTAAACCATCTCTTGCATTCATATATTCATCCATTCCTGCTGCAGCTGCAGCTGCCCTCTGAAATTACTCACTTGAACCAATGCAGTAGTTCCTAGCTTCGTTTTTCATCCAGTCTCACTACACTCCTCAGACTGCTAGGAGGAGCATCTTTCTGAGACACAAATATCATGGTGTTATTTGCTAATTTAAATTCTTCAATGGTTCTCCTGTGCTTAAAGCCACAGTCCAAACCCTCAGGAAAAGGTCATGCAGAAGCTTGTTACCAACCCTACTAGTCTCATTTCTGGCCTTTGCTAGGTCCTTGTGCCTATCAACCAACCCCATACACTTATTTTGTGGTTTTCCCCAAATGTGTTACAGGCTTTCATTTTCCCATCTTCTACTTTTTCTCTGGAATTTCATCTCTTTATCTGCCTAACAAACTTTATGCACTATAAATATCTCTTTTATATTAATAACAATTTTATATTATTTTTACATGTTTCTTCCCTGATAAGTTTTAAGCAAAATAAAGTAATAAAGCAAGATAAATTTAAAGCAAAAAAAAAAAAAAAATACTGCCTCACACATAGATGTTCGAGAAATGATTGCAAATATAAATGCAGGTACTAGAAATACCTTCAAATAAAATTTTAAAAAAGAAAAACAGAAAACAACTGGTATACCAGAATACCCCTTTAATACACTTTTATTTAGATTAAAAAAATCCATGTTCATAATAAAAAGAAATTTTTTTTAAATGAACTTGCCTTTCAATATGGATCATGGAAAACTTATAAGAGGTTTCTGTGCGCTCTTTGACATGAGCAGTAAAAAGTGCTCACTGTAAATAAACATCAAAAAAGACACGAGCTGCTTGCTCACATTTTAAACAATGGGCATATTGAGAAGGCCCATAGTTAGGGACAAGGTCTGAAGTGAGGCACTTCCTACCTGTTAGATCTGCACTGGGCCACCACCCCAAGTCACAGGCTTTGCAGGTGAATTCATCTTGCACGTATTCATTCTCTTTGCAGGCTGTGCAAATCCAGCAGCAGCTCACTTCTCCTTTCCGTATGACCTGTAACACAGGGATAGTCCATATGACTTAAAGATGGTCTCCCCAGAAAGTCTTCTATTTCAATATGGACTTGTTTTCATACTATAATAAAAAAAGAATAATTCTTCAAAATATCCTATATGCTGAGGAAACTTATGTACATGCATTCGAATATACCTGATTATCTTTAGAGTTCAGATGTGAATTTCAATTCATTCCATGCTGGGTTTGGAGGTTTTTCAAAAATAATGTCTTTCATAAAGGGAATTGATGACATTATCTTTTTCAGAGTTAAAAAAATGAAACAGTTGAATTTTATTATTTATACTCATTTGTATTATCCTCAGAAAAATAAAAAGAAATTTTTCTTCTCTGAAAGAGCAATGTTTAACCCCAAATTTCTTATGTAATATTTTCTTATTAATTCGTAAAATCTGAGGAATTATGGAATTTTGTAATTATGAATGTCTGAGCAACTTTATATACATAAAAACAGAATGATGGCTAAGAAAGTCAACTCTATTATTGGCCCTGTGACTTGCTCTAGTGAACTTAAAACATTACGTAAATTGTTGGAAGAAAAATTACTAGTCCAAAATTACTGAAGAATCATTCATTATTAGAGTAGTTTAAACTTTCTCCCATTTTCAATCTGTTTGTTAAGCATATTTCACTTGACATGATACCAAAAAAGTCAAAACATTTAAAGTGATTTTCTTGTAAGCAACACGTATTAGATCTTGCATTCATCTCCAGTCTGAGAACTTTTGCCTTTTATTGAAGTGTTTCATACATTTACATTTAGTATAATCATTGGTGTGGTTGGAAATGAAAATTTGACCAGATGCTGTACATTGTGTACATAAGGTATAGTGTGCTGGATGTTTTTCCTTGAAGTATTGGCCTTTGTTCTGGCAGGCAGCTAACTCCTTGTGAGCATTGTTTTTATTCTTTTAGGACAAGTCTAGAAGAGTCTCTACTCTAGGAATAATTAAGCCTCATTATTAAGGTGTGACCACCTGGGGTTTCTACTTAATTCCTTGTGTATTCAACAAGGTATCTCCACTCTGGCTTGTGGAAAATGAGACAATTCCTGGATCTGTGTAAGCTCAGGGATTCCAGCTCCCCAGTAATTTTTTTTTCACCTGAACTTTTTGAATTCTGTCCTATTCATGTGCAGACTTGTGTTCAGTCACATGCTTAAGAGAACCTGTATGCTAACTTCTAGGACATTTTTTCTGAATAGTTCTATCACTTACACTACACAACAAATTCTCACTGCCGTGGCCTTCCTAAACTTTGATTTCTGTCTTCTTAAATGATCAAGATCACCAAGCTCTGTGTTCTCTTTCACTGAACAACAAGGAAATTGCCTCCAGGCAGAAAGCCTGAGTGATTTTAGGGTTCACCTTGTTTGTTTGCCTTCACTTTCCTGGAATCAAGGTCATGCACTGTTTTCCAATGTCTGAACACAGTTATTTCATATATTAGGTCAAGTTTTGTAGTTGTTTACACCAAAAGGCAGTCTGGGCTCTGTTACTCTTTCATGGCTAGAAGCACAAGTTCTTCCCTAATACATTAAACATTATTAAATGTTTTCATATGCAAAATCAGAAATTAAATTTTAAACATTGCCATACCTTAAAATCATACAACCTCTAGACTTTATGAAAATAAAACTATCTTCTCACAGAGCGGGTGAAAATTTATACCCCTATCTTTGAATTACATATAAAATATCAAATGACAGTATATTTTCAGAAAATGTAAAAGGTTTTCTTTTTCTTCTTTTACTTTCAGATAACTTCAGAAAGTAAAATCAAATTAAGTCTTTTTTTAAAAAACTCCTTGCAACCTTAAAATAAGCATGGGAAATTTACATTCCAGATAATAATTTTTTAAGTGATATGAGAAAAATTGAGTAAATGAATTCTGCTTTCTTATTTTAATTGGCATAAAAGTACAGTAAAAGCCATCACAAAATACTATATATCCTTTTAGTCAGCTTTGTCTCTTTCTCTTTACTATAAAAATAATTCTACTATTCAACAAATTTAAAAGGTGGTAATGCTAAACAAATTGATTTATGCAGGATGAATAGTGAGGGTAGATCCTGTGAGTAACTGGCATTTGGAAAGTATTTAAAATTAGGTTTTCTATGACTGAATAAATGAATGAATAAGTGATTAGCCTATCTCTTTAATAAATAATGAAAATGGAGCTGCTTAAATAGAGTTATATTTTATGACTCCTTCTTTATTCCGCCACCAAGTATGTGTACTTTTGGCATACACATCTATAATATCTGGTTTGTCTTTTTTTTTTTTTTAGAGAGGGTGGGGAGGGTCAGAGGGATAGAGAGAGAGAATCTTAAGCAGGCTCCATGCCCAGCGCAGAGCCCAATGGGGGGCTCTTTCCCACAATCCTGAGATCATCATCTGAGCCGAAATCAAGAGTCAGATGCTTAACTGATTGAGCCACCCAGGAGCCCCTGACTTGTCTTTTCCATCTCTCAGTCACCCCTCTAGACTGAGGTTTTATTATTTCACACCTGAATTCTGGTCCTTGTCTCCTAATCATATAACATGCTCTAATTTCTTCTTGCACTAGAGTAACATGCATACAGCTGCCAGGATCACCCAAATAGGCCATGGGCTCCTCAAGGGAAGGGACCAAGCTGACTTTCATCATTTTCAGATCATAGTCTTCAAGGGACAGATATGTACCAAAAACACACAGTAGGCAGCCAATGGATGGGTATTGAATAAATCTTTTTTAAAAAATACAATTAGGCCACTCAAAGAATTTTAGTGCCTCCCTACCCCAATACCTTTGCAATATAAGCTCTTCAGTCAGGCATTCACTTAGTCCCTGGTCCTTGTTTCTGCACCTTACTTCATCTTATTAATTTCTTACATAAGTCTGCCAAATGAGGACAGAGCCTCTGTGCCAGCCAGCCCCTCACTGTGTCTTCATTAATGTCCACATAACAGTTTGTTTTGTTTGTTTTGGAGGGAGGTTTCAAATACAGTAGAGACATCATTGAATTTGTGTTTCATCTGACTTGCTTTCTATAAGGAGTATTCTGGCTGCTATTGGAGAACAGAGTTTAAAGAGAGAGAGAAAAGAAAGAATGTGTGTGTGTGCATTTTATATGTGTGTGTTTTAATCCATGGTTCTCACATGGAACCATATAGTAAACAAATAAATATGTTTTAATGAAAAAATGACTATTACCTTCCATTTAGAATGTCATCTTTTCTCCATCAGTCCATCTCTGTTACTACTTTCAAGGGCAGATACATCACAAGCTCCAGACTGTATTTCTGGAGCAGTAAATCCTTTCAAACATTGCCTTATTTATAATTCTCTAGTAGCTAAAATACAGTTGGTTTTTTATTACTACAAGCTACATTTTGTCCTCTAATTTTTTCATATTCATATAATAGATATGTTTCTTTCAGATACAGTTCTTTTTAATTCTTGTTATTGTCTCTAATTTATATCCAAATCTTCCTAATAGCATATTATTGATTATTTTTATATTTTCTGTATTTTTATATGAGTCATGCTTACTGATATTTCTTTTGTATGTATAGTGGCCCCTCCTGATCCATGGTCAGTCTTTGTCCAGAAGCATATGATCCTCCTGACATATTATCAGGAGGTCAATAGTAGCCTGACACTACATCACGGTGCCTACGTACATCATTCACCTCACTTCATCTCATCACATAGGCATTTTATCATCGCACATCATCACAGGAAGAAGGGTGAATACAGTATAATAAGATATTTTGAAAGAGAGAGAGAGAGACCACATTCACATAACTTTTATTACAGGATATTGTTACAATTATTATATGTCATTATTAGTTACTGTTGTTAATCTCTTACTGTACCTAATTTATAAATTGAACTTTATCATAGTTATGTTAATCTAGGAGAAAACATAGTATATATCAGGTTTGATACTATCTGTGGTTTTAGGAGGAGGGTGTCTTGGAACATATCCCCAAATAAGAGGGGACTACTATTGTATATATTCAACAACTGAATAAAGTATTTTTTCACTTTTGTCACAAGCAAACACTTTTTATGATAGCTCTGAGTCACAATAACAGTTTTGGTATTTTACTGAAACTGCCCTTGAAGGACCAAGGCTTACTAAGGCCCAGAGCCTGCTTTGATTCTTTTTATGTCCTGTGTACACGGTGCTGTTTATTGTTAGTGAGACCAGGTGAGCTGCTGGTACGCACAATGCCGTGATTCAATTACATAGACCCTGTAGGAATATTTATGCAAGGAAATCAAGTGTTCGTTTTGTGACTAAGTTCCTGAAGTAACCTGAAATGGATTTTTTAATTAAGGTTTTATTTAGAAAAAGAATACAGGCACCCGGGTGGCTTAGTTGGTTAAGTGTCTGACTTGACTTCCACTCAGGTCTTGATCTCAGGGTCGTGAGATAGAGCCCCTTGTCAGGCTCCAGACTCCATGGGGAGTCTTCTTGAGATGCTCTCCCACTGCCCCTCCCTCTGCTTCTCCCCCAACATGCATGCATGCTCTCTCTCAAATAAATAAATCTTAAAAAAAAAAAAGAATGAAAGAAAATAAATAGCATCAAGAGAATATAATGAAGGAAAGGTAACTGTGAATCAGAGGAAACAGAGAAAATTTTCTTCAGAAGAGAAACCCCTGAAAGACTAAAGAGAATAAAGAAACTGAGTCTACTGTAATTAGGACTGTTGGAGAATTAGTTGCATGAGAGAAGAGTTAGCGCTGCCCTCCTCTGTTCCTATCATGTCCTGTAGGAGAGCTGGGGTGACAGTCAACTCAAATACGGATGTTTTTCTCCCACTGCACTGAGTTCCTCAAAGGAAGGGGCCATTTTTAAGTTTCCTTTGCATTCCCAGCACTAGTGAAGTATGGAAGCTGAAGGGACTCCATTTTAGAAAAACTCCATCTCTGCTGTTTTTTTTCTGGGCCCCTTTTACTCATGTTCCGTATTTTGCCTCTAAATAACCGAAGCTCTGTTCTCATTTCAAGGGGGAAATAAGAAAGTTAATCGTTCTCTGAATTTTGTTCTAGGCCCCAAATCCCTGATAACAACTAAGAAAAGCCAGATCCCAAACACGTTCCAGGACATTTGCTTCAAACAAACCTCGGCTGATACTGGCATCAATAGTTTTAGCTTCGCTAATTTATGGAATAACACCTGTTGTTCACCTGACACTCACCTCAATTTGACCCTACCCTGGATTCCTGAAGAAACATGTATCCTAAATCCTTTTCTAATATAACCCCCTAGCCCAAAACAACGACAAAACTCATTCTCCCTTCCTTTCCGAGTCTCCCAGACACTCTGCTATTCTTTGTCACTCACGCTATTCAATAAACTCTTCTTCCACTTTCTCTGGCTCCTGGTTTGTTTTGTTTTGTTTTTGTTCATGTTTGATTTCTATCCTGCACCAAGCCAAGGGCCCTCTTGGCTGGTCTTGTGGGACCCTCCCCTGGGTCCTCAGACCCAGCCTGCCTACATCACTAGCCTGGTTCTTGGCACATATTAATTACTCAATAATGTAGACGGAAGAAAAGAGGAAAATAATATAGACTATGACATAAACAGAAGCAATGGAAATGAATTCAAAGAGAATGAAAAATAGAGTAAAATGGAGAAAACCTTACAAAAACTAAATAAAAAATACCAATGAAAAAACATCCCCATATTGTAATTTATTATAGGGAAAATGTAATAAAAATGGTATAGGAATATAAAATCATCACAAGAGCAGACATATATTGAACCAGGCTATGTGCTAGGACCTCTGTACAGAATTACACTAACCCTTCACAACTGCTCCAGGGGATGGAGTTAATTATGTGTGTTCTGCAGATGAAGAAGTCGCTGCAGAAGGGATCCATATCTTGCGCAAATCTCAGTAATGTTATCTTCAGTTATTTCCAAAAGCTAGGCTCTTCCCAGTGTCACAGTGGCTGCCAGGGTAATGACATATTTTGCTGAGAACCAAAATTATATCTCAGAGGTTGGTAGATATATGCTCAATTAATTAACCTTTGTTTAGTGGCCCAGTGTGCCAGACATGGGATAACTTTTTGAAAAACCCGATTGTTAAGGCTAAAGAGCTCAAAATCTATTGTAATGTGTTAGTGTGGCACCTAGGGGCCACATTTAAAGGGATACTCTCCCTCAGGGTTGTGTAAGTATGCACCCTACACTTGCACAACCTTGAGAGTGAGGGCCTCCTTAAATTTTTATACTTCAATAAATGTTTACTTACAAAAACAAATGGGCCCTGTTTCTGCCACTGCCACTGTCCAATATCATGTGATTAGCAGCACCTATCAGGACTCATCCCCAAAAACTGGCAGGCTGGGTCCGAAACTAGGGTGTTCGCCAACAACTTCAGTAAATATGTGATCAGCATAGACTCTGGTCAACGTATGAGAGGCAAAGATGTAGGTATTACTCAAAGTGGCTGTGGATAAATTAATAATTCCACCGAATTTCTCATTATGACTAGGGCGTGCAGTTTCCTCCTCATCCAGAGGGATTATAGTAATTTCACGTTTTCACATGCACAATAAGATACAAAAAAAAAGTATTTTATCTTCATTTTTTTTTTAAATTGTAGCCAATATGTTTTTAGTCACCGGAGCAGATCATATCATTGTTATGTAATCACAGCCTTCTCAGATAGGATTTTTTATATATATATATATTCCTGTGGGCAATTTATATTCAGATCTTGCCATCCTGCAGTGGAATTTAGAAAGTATTATATAATGGACAAACCGTATCATCATTTCACTGGTTGCTAAAATGGCTACATTAACCATGAACAGTTTAAGTGGGTAGTTTGCTTTGATTCACAAGAGAAAAAGAAAGCGGAGGTGGATGGGACAGTTGTGGTTGATGATGTTATTGCTAACTTCTTAGCTCGGCTCACAGTTGTATGAGAAAAATCTTATTCTGAGAAAACACAAGCTGAGGTATTAAGGTATGGAGTTTCATATTTGCACCTCACTTTCAAATGGCTCAGGGAGAACACAGTGGAAAGAAAAAGAGAGAGGGGGATAAAGAAATTAAGAGAAGGGTGAGCGGAGAGAAAATACAGTAAAGGATTCACAATTACTGAATGTAGTTGGTGGCTATATGAGTGGTCAATTTAATGTGTTTTTTCATGTTTGAAAGTGAGGAAAAAATGAGGGAAGTATTAACTAGATCAAAATTATGAGCAAATAGGGAGAAAGTTGAACAAAAATAAAAATACTCATTACAGATATGGGAAGTATCCAAAGAGAATTCACAGTTAGTAGGCATGAGATAACTTCAAAAAATCTCTGAAAGCTCCAGGCAGATGGGCTGGATGGGCTGGGTGGTGGGGTCAGGCCATGACACACCCATGTGAGCCACATAGTGACCAGAGAGTAATGACTGTTTGCACCATGGGAACATTTGCTCGAGGTAGATGTCAGTCTAAAATGATTCTCTTGCCACCAAATTCAAGACAAAATTCCTCTTCCTACTGCCATGGAGGGAAGACATAATATCCAAGCAATTTCAAAGCACATGCACAGGAGGAGAATGAAACTATTCCAAATGCTATGGCCTAGCATATAAAAACAAAAATAGCTACAAGTATGAAGAAGTACAGCTACAATATGACACACTTTGAACTCTGAATTTTGGAGCAACTGCAGATGGAAAAACTGGACATAAAATAATTTGTCCTGCAAGATCCATAACGTGACCTAGAAGAAAATCAGCAGGTGAGCTGATTCAATGTGAGGGTAGGAAGAGTGAAAGGGGGTACATCATATGAGCTCTTCCCACCCCACTGCCCTAACCTCCCAATCCCAGGTATTGGGATCAAGGGATAGTAGTATCTCATCAGGTGGTGAATTACCAGGAAATGGTGTTATAGCCTCTCTTTGGTTATTTTATATTTTGATGAAAATTTTGCAATGTTTTCATCATGCAAAATAAATGGAATAATAACACTTTTCAAAGTTCATCTATCTGATTTCACATAAAACAATGTTTCATATTCTATCACATTATCAAAGTTGTTTTTCTCCCTGAGGATATTTAATTGTGATATTGGCAGGTGTGTTATAACCTGAAGTACAAACATTATGATATGCCTACATTTTCTTTTCAACTTTGATACTGAATAGCATGGACTCAAGACACATCTATTTCCTGTAGTTATTTCTGCATAAAGTAACAGGAAGGATTGTTGGCAAATAATATATGTTCTATCATATAAAATTCATCCTTATCACATTTATTTTCTTATCATTTGGAAAGGTAGGGTGGTACTAACTGCTTGACGATTTTGGCCAAAATCGGTATCCAGTCTTTCAGAGAGACAGCATCCCTTGCAGAACAATGCTGGGATAGGGCTAAGTAAGCAACTGTAAATATAGAGAGCAGGAAAATCTACAGAGGAAGAGGAAAATGATGCTAAAGAGTCTACTGAAAGAATGATTTAACAGCAGGCATTAAAGGGATGATATTAGGTTGCTAAAAATGACAAATATTCTGGAATGTGAGGCTCTCATCCTTAATCTCTGCAGAGTCTTGAAGTAAAAGATCTACAACAAAGTGGCTGCTTTTTAATCACTGGCCTATGTTGAAAAGTGATAGTGTCAATGTGAAAATTAATATTAGCAATCATATTTTTAAAGAAGGATATTATTAGAAACTATAAGTTTTCTACATTGGCAACTTCTCTCAAGTAGCTATACTTAGCTACAGAAAAACCCAGAGACAAACTCTTCTAGCAGCATTATCTAATTATGCTTATGGCATTATTAAATCTAAGGACACATAATTCCAATTAAAGGTCAATGTAAATGGTTTCTTTTTTTTTTTTTTTAAGATTTTATTTATTTGACAGAGAGAGACGGCAAGAGAGGGAACACAAGCAGGGGGAGTGGGAGAGGGAGAAGCAGGCTTCCTGCTGAGCAGGGAGCCCGATGTGGGGCTCGATCCCAGGACCCTGGGATCATGACCTGAGCCGAAGGCAGATGCTTAATGACTGAGCCACCCAGGCGTCCCATAAATGGTTTCTTAATAGACTGTCCTAGCATCCTTTCATCTTTGAAGACATCTTGGATCACAGTGAAAATGAACATGTCCCTTTTAGTTTGATACTCAACAAATCTGTGGTTTGGCCTCTTTGTTGATCTAACTGGAATGGGAAACAGAGGGACATGGAAGCTGAAGCTGAGCAAGGGGCTTTAGCAGTTTTAAGTTAAGCAATCTTCTGAGGTCCACACTGCTAACACCTTTTGAAACTAAACTTTTATCTTTCCAATAGAAAATGCCAACAAATGGAAAAGAATCAGACTTATCCCTTGAAAGGAAATTAGCTAACCTAATTCCAAAGCCTGTAGCTTGTAAGATATGTGTACCTGGGCTTTTCTGTACGTATGTAAGGTGTATTTTACTATATGACAATATGGCATGTGTAAATGAAGACACATTTGTGATGTATTCTATTACGTTCACGTAATTTCTCCAGAATTCTGTTTTGACTGGCTGGGCGAGAACAGGAGGAATCAGAGCTCTCCGTTCCTCATGCCCAACCCCTTAGCCCCAAAGACATCCTCTGAAAGTAGAGAACCCAAAGGCAAACTTAAGGGGAGAAAAAAAGAAAGGAGAGGAAAAGAAAGAATATGAGCCACTGAAAACAATCTGCAGTTTTCTTTCCCTCGAATTCGCCGCCAGTTTCCCTGCTTCTATTAAACTCCCCCAAGCTCCTTTGCTAATATTGCTTCTTCAATTCTAGATTCTATTCCCTGTTAAAGTAGATCTCTATTTATAATTTTATTGTCAACTACTGAGAAAATAAGGCTTAGCAACTGAGACTTGCATTTGTAAGAAATACATCGGGTCCTCTAATGACAGGTAGTTGAACAACCTGAGGCGGTGGGATGATGAGAGCTCTGGGCTGGCTCCGAGCCCAGCTTTGGAACTTTCTAGCTTGAGAAAGCTTGGGGCAAGTGACTCAGCCTCTCTAGGCCTCAGATTGAGGAATCTGCAAAATGGTGGGGCGGGGGGAGAGTATCAGCTTTAAAAGGGTTGTTTTAAGGAATAATTAAAATGGTGACTGTAGGGCACCTGGGTGGCTCAGTTGGTTAAGCGACTGCCTTCGGCTCAGGTCATGATCCTGGAGTCCCGGGATCGAGTCCCGCATCGGGCTCCCTGCTCGGCGGGGAGTCTGCTTCTCCCTCTGACCCTCCTCCCTCTCATGCTCTCTGTCCCTCATTCTCTCTGTCTCAAATAAATAAATAAAATCTTTAAAAAAATAAAAAATAAAAAAATAAAATAAAATGGTGACTGTAATGCACCTATTATTGTACTTGCACAAGAATATGCTTGACAAACATTCGTCTCTGATCTCTACTGTCTCCCTTCTCCTTCCTTTTACTGCCCGCCTTCACCTTCCTGCCCCTTCTCGGCTCTTTCCTGCCTTTCACCACACCAAGAAAAATCGCTGCCTGCTTGGTACAGGAGACCACCACACATGCCAGGCCCTTGGTGTTTGCTCGCAGATCCATTGTCCACACGTTGTGTGCTGCCTCAGATCCTTTCCTCAAGCCTGTCTCTTAGGCCCTTGGCCACTGGCTTTTGGAAAGTCCTGGAATCTTCTGCAACCCCTACCTCAGCCTCTATCACTCTTGCTTCCTTTCTGGCACCTCCGCCTGTCTGTCTCTCCCGTGACTCCATCACTGGGTTTCAGAACGGCTCCATTGTACTCAGCACAACAGAAGGCCAGACCAGACTGCAGGGGATCTTCAGAGGCTTTGGTCCTCCAACCGCTTCTAATCTGAAAAAGGACCATGGAACGGGACACAGATTCTAGCTTCCCCAGTAGCTGCCTAAAGGGATCAGGTGGTGTTACTTCCTGTGAGCAAACTTTGACCACAGTAGCAGAAAATGGCATGGCACAGGTCACATCCTTCTCCCCCCCTTGCTCCAGGAGACAGTGCGAGCGGCCTGTCCAGAGACCTCTGTGAGGCTGAACGACTAGTTGTACTCAATGAAGTAGCATCTGGCTCAGTAAAGCATTACCTCAGTGATGATGGTGGTGCTGGCATTTTTCCATGCTTCCATGGCTCCTTTCCCCTTCCCCTTCACTCTTGCATCTCTGAGATTTCCCATAATGCACTAGCCCTTAAGCCTTGCTTAGTTTAAAGGTTTCCAGGAAACCTGTGAACTACATTGTCCAGGCTTTTTTGCCAATGTCTTCTGGATGGTGTTGGCAAAACGCAAGGACCTAATGGGAGACTGAAGGGAAGGACAGAGGAGAAGCCATGGTATCCTCTCGGGCCCGCTCCAGGGGTCATCTCAGAAGTAGCTGTGACTCCTCCTTGTGTCCCTCTGGCCTGGGGTGAGGATGATTCTTGCTGTTGGTCACCTCTGAGGTGCCCTGGGCATCCTCTTTCACTTATATAACCAATTTCTTATATTAAATTCCCTTTATCAAACAACCTGGCCAGGGTTCGTTTTTTCCTGTCTGAACCCTGACTAATATAACACACAACCATAAAAAGTTTGATTTTATTTAACTATGTTTATGGAATGGTTAAAATAAATTTCTGTTTCTGTAAGATATTATAAGATATTATATTTATATTTCTAAAAATCAGTAACATAAGAAAACTGGACTTTTAACTACTTTGAGGGAAATTACCATAAGAGAGTTCTGTGGGTTATCACAAAAAGAGTCAAATCATTAATTTTAGCACTTTAAATGGCATTTGATATTTAAAATGAGTACTCCTTTTCTAAACAGTGTATTTCCCAGTTAATGCAAGTGCAAGTCCTACAATCACCTTGCTCGTTGTTGCCTCTCTTCTGTTTTTGTAGTGGCTACTGAGGGATCCAGCTCTCTGCATCCTGGGCCTGGTAGGTGGCAAATTGGTGGTGTAAGAATATAAGTGCTATCATTTGGTAAATGGGATTCAGATTTCATTTGTTTCCATACCTCCCTTGGTGCTTATGGGAAACAAACAAACATTCCACCACCACCCCAACCTCCACTCCAGGTGCCATTGAGAACAGGCATATTTTCCTCCTGCAGGGTACAAAACAGTTCTAAAATTAGACCCCAAAAGATTTGCATTTATAGTGAGTGCTCTGTAATGGCTCTGCGATGATTTCTGGGATCTCCTTCAATAACAAACACTGCATGGGCGTAATGCAAACGTGTTGCCAGAAATACTTCAGTATGTAGGCATAGAGATGTATGCAGACAGCCTTTCTTCTGAACTCGGGGAGGAAAGGCCTTTCTTCTGGAATGTACAAAGCGGAATCCACATGGTATGTGAGCCCCCATCCATGGCCTGCCAGCAATCACAGGGATAGCAGGGAATTGTGAAAGGGGGCTGGAGTTCAGAGAATCTTTAGAACGATTTGTTTTCTCTTGCCAGGGTTGGTTGGTTGGTTTTTCTTATACTCTTGAAAAACCCAACTTTGTAGTTCTATAAACTGTTTTACAGTGGTTGTGTGTGGTGTAGACAATGCTACCACACAAGCTGGAAAGGCTTGAGCCAGACATGTGATACTCTTTGAGTCACAGAAGTCCATGAGCTCAGGGCTTCTCTTTTGTCCCGATGGTATGACCTCCATCTCAGATGTCCTATTTCCCCACCATTCAGAAAGGATGACAAACATAGAATCCAGTGGTCTGGCATCTCGTGGAAATATTCAAGAAGCTATGGGCCTCTGGATTTTAAACCACCAGACATGATAGAATTTCATCAGGACAAGAATCAGAAATGGAATTCCTGGGGTGGAGCCCATACACACTGGTGTGGTTGCAGCCATGCTTACACTGCTGAAACACTTCCGTGCAGAGTAGAAACTCATGGTCTCTTCGAGCCTCCTGAATGCCCCACGCTACTCCAGCCTTACAGGACTCCTCGCCCATATCTTCCCAAGATCCAAGGACTAACCCTGGGCTTGGCAGGAGGCCTCCAGCACCCTGTCACAGCACCAGGAAGGAGTCCAGTCTGATTGGTTAGTTGTCATGACAATTATTATGTACTTTTAATATCACATGTCCATAGAAGGCACAAGATATTTAAAACTAGGGTGAATAAAACAAATGTAACCTTGTGTGTCAACTATACTCTAATAAAAAAAATAAAATGCAATCAGTCAGCCCTTCAATCAAACAAACTGGGGTGAATTGTCTCAGAAGTCTGTTGCTTCCTCAAAGTGGCCGGTATCACTGAGAGTTTGAGTCCATCACAACAGCTCTTCAAAAGATGTTGCGGTTTCCAAATCCTCTGCCTTCACTGACCAGTAGAGTTGAGGCTCTTCCAGTTTCTGCAGCAGCACTTCCACACGCTCCCACACCCCTCAGTGTACCTGTCAGGGCTTCTCCCTGCAGGGGCGGTGCACAGCTCCCAGGAAGGCCAGGTGGTGGGGCAGCGTGGCCAGAGGGGCCGGGCCTCCCACTGCGTCTACTCCAGCCCAGCTGTGCCGTGTGACATTTACGTGACAGCCTGTCTGCTCCCAGAGCTGAATCACAGCAAATTAGAGAGGGGAGAGACCTAGCAGGTCATTTAATCCATCCTCCTGCCAGTTGGCCATCACTGCCCCACGCTCCATTTCCTAGTGCACCATAGTGTTTGGTTTTAAATAGCATGGATCCAGGGAGCGCTGTTCCCATGCCTTCTTCACTGAGAATTCTCTCCAGCTGGCCCAGCCAAAGGCTCAATATTTGATGTTTATTTACTCTGTTATGCATACAGCAATACTGTGGTTACTCACTTGCTCCAGGCTGATAAAAAAAAAAAGCTTCTAAGAATAATTAGGAAGTGAGGACTCTCTCTTGGCTACAAAATACCAATTTCAGGAAAATCAAAGAATGTGGTGGTCAAAAGAGAAATGATAAGCAGCTTCTGTGTTAGCACATTTCAACTTCTTTTATGTTCATTATGTGCTTATTTTGTACTGTTCAGCTTCTGCTTTCTTTCACAGTAGCTACAACTCTGACTAAGCAGTATCATTGGTTTTGGTTTCCACATTTACTTCTGTTTCAATTTTTAATTCAAGTATTTGTCCCCTTGCTTTCTATATTGGATTGAAGATTCCGGCTCATCATTGCAATTCAAATAAGGACTATTCTTAAATATTCGAATGGTTTGCCTATTTCATTTCCTAATCTTCCTTTGTTTTTCCAATTTTAGCTAAACACAAGAACAAAAACAGAAAGCTTGGCACACCCTTTCTGGACAGTTTGTCTAAGAAAAATGTCTGTTTTTCTTTACATAGGCCCATGCAGGTGGCCTCCTCCTGTCCAAGAATGCATCTGTGGCCGGCTTACCTTAATCTGACCCTTTAAGCAAGGCTCACTGCACACAGACCGTACCACTCCGCTCTTGTTCATTTGGATTTTGTAATCATCGATGTTCAAAACGCCTTCGTGCCAGGTCCCAACGTGTACGTAGTCATAGCGATTAGCTTCTGTGTACTGCAGATTCATGATATCATACCTACAAAGAAAACAACACATGTGTCTTGGAGAGTATGGACATGATGCAGAAAACAAAGAAATTTGGTAAACAGATATAATAGAAGGGAGATAGGAACAAGAATCATCCCATGTCCTAAGGCCTCTCAATATTTTATTTCGTTTCTAATGTTTCCTCTGATTTTCCAAAATGTGTGTTTCACTCTGTAGTCTCTGTGTATTGTCCATATCTGCTAAAGAATGTATTACTCTTGTACTTTTCTTTTTGCTTACTCTCCCCCCAAATAATCTTATGTGTGCTGAGTTGATTACCATCTCCTTCAAATCATTATTCACTAAGTCATGATTCTTGAGAGCATTAATTTCTTAACTTGATTAATTTCATTCTAATGTCCTTTTTCACAATCAGTTGTCATTTTCATTACGCTGGATTAAAAGAAGTGAGTTTTACCAAGTCTGGAACCTATTTTAGGTGCTAATAAAGCAAGAAATCTGAGAAACACAGCTTTAATTAACAAGGATGTTGGGGATTTAACATCTTGAGCACTGACATTTAAACTGGTCTCTTCCTTGATTAGGACAAACATTTCTGAATCTAAATAATCAGTGTCAGATATTCCAGTAATTTCAAATGCTGCAATACTACACTATGGCAAAATCTACATTTTGAAATCCTCACTGCAGCTCGAGTGTGCTCTGGGGGACAGACCTCATCATTTTTCAATGTGGGCAATGGAGAACATTCTCCAAAGCGACGAAAAGAACACAGGACTTGACATTAGAATGCATAAGCTAGAATCTCTTATCTAACATTTTAGCAGTAGATTATGCTACTTAGGAATGTCACTAAACTCTTAAAGGTTCACAGGGTTCTTGTGGGGATTAATTAATATAAGTCATGTAAAAAAACGATTTCACAATTGGGACAAATGCATATGTAAGGCAATATCACTACACCATTCATATTTGTATTACTATGAATGCCCTAAAATACTCTGGTTATTTTCACTACCAGAAGAAAACTGGAGAACAAAAGCTGTCTCTCTCTCAGCCATTGGAAATCCTCTGGCATTCTTCAGTCTCTTCTCCATGTTGCTGTTAACTCCAAGTAAGCTATAACTCATGTGGCAGTTTCCCAAAAATGTATTCCTGATTGCCCCTTACTGGTTCTGCAAAATGGGATTCTTTTTGCTGCAGTACCTGTGCAGTTCTCACTGTCCTGCACTAGAATATAAGAGGCATGGTCTCTTGCTTTTTGTGCTTGACCTGAAGAAATAGATGGCAATTACCTAACATGTATTCCTCTTCCTCACTTCTCAACCCCAACACTCTTACCTAGTAGAGTAGGTAATTCATTTTGCAATTCTTTCTCTCTAAACCCGATTCACACTCAGAGTCCTGCTCAGCCCAGCACTCCAGGAAGCTATTATCAACCTTAGTTGGCATCCAAAACCTATTGCCCATATCTGGCTTAGTTCTTTATCTAGACAACTAATATCCTTTGTTGGCTTTTCTGTCTGTTCTGAATGCAAATGAATTCTGCCACCCACAGGGTAGCTAGTGGCTTCTCCACATCCACATTCTGGCAATTTCTCTAAAGGGAAAGGGCACTCTGGGAGAAGAAAGGAAGTCTTCTTTCCCCTACTTTTCCAGGAAAAAGGAACCTACCAGATGAGAAGAGAAAATGGCACACCTAGAGCACATTACTCATCTCTTTGCTGTTCTGACTTTTGGCTAATAAATAAAGGTTCTCATTCTTCTTGTTGTGGAGTCATCCCAGCATGTTCTTCAGAGTAGCTCTCTGAGGGATATCCAAGTAGCTATTAACTGTGGGCTGATGGCTCCTACTCATCTTGCTGACCAATGATGCTAATCTACACCTCCAATATTTTTCCATTTTAAACTCATGGTTATAGAACCTGTTGTGAATGTTTGGTGAATAGTTTCCTTTTTCATTTCCTTTAATTTTTATGTTTTACCCCATATTGTTATTGACTCTCCTTACATACTTTCAATGAAGACTTTGGGGCAATGCTAGCGTTAGGTTATCTTTTTCCTATAAATCAGTTTGATGAGGAAACAGAAGGCAAGCTGAGGACAAAGCAGAAGCCGACACCCTACAAACCAACCCCCTCAGATGGGATATATATGTGACATTCCTTATGCACTCCTGGATACCCTAAAGCTAAGGAAAAACAAATAGTTAACTTGTAGAGATCACAATCCTGCAAGGCATGAGTCTCCCTCAGTTTACAAATGTCTTAGCAATCTATAAGAACAAGGCATTTCTATCAATAACCTAGCTTCCAGAAGGAAATGTACATACAATTAAATGTCCTTATAACCTGCAGCCCATTGACAGATACTTGAAGTGGGCAGAGTATAATGTTCCTCCAGGAAGCTCCCAACTATCTTAATGTTAATGCCTTGCTAGAGGGAAAAACAACCTTAACTTGACAATGGCAAGGCCTGAGGTATCCTGTGAGTCTTCTTTAACATACGAAAATCCTTTTGAAACCTCCCTTTCCCTTACCTCCCCCAATTCCATAGTATATAATCAGCCACCCCTCACAACCCTGCTGTGGCAGCTCTTTCTGCCCATGGGTCCTATCCCTGTGCTTTAATAAACCACCATTTTGCACCAAAGATGTCTCAAGAATTCTTTCTTGGTCATTGGCTCAGGACTCCACCCCACTGAACCTCACTTATATTCCAAAACCACATCAAGTTTCCTAAGACTTATTTCAATCCTTGTTTGCTCTTCAATAGGAGAAATCAGTTCACACTTCATTAGCATTTAGAAACTGAAAAATTCATAATATTTTGGCATGAAAACACATTTTCAAAAAGTTCCAAAAGCCAGAGGACAAAAATACTGAAAGATACCAAGGGAAAACAACTGAGACACTAAACAGAGGCTTTCCCCTGTGCTATGTGTGTTAATGAACACGGCTCTTTTCTCTTGACCTGAGTCCCTTCCCGGCACGTTGGCATTCATTTGGAATATCCTCATGCTGTAAATTACAGTTTTATAGCATCCTCTGGATGCACTCAGTTTATGTTGCATGATGATTAACCAGAATAATTACAAGAGGGACCAAGAGCATGAATGGTGGTATGAGGGGGGATGGAAGCAGAGGGAGGTGGTTAAACAGAAACTGAACACAGATTAAGCTGACCAATTTCAAGCATGAGGAAGTGATCCTTGAAAAGGAACCCAGGGGAAAGCTCATGATTTGAACATGTAATTACACATGGAGGAAAAACAAGCTAAAACTGCGTGCCTATATTTTGGATAACTTACAAATAAAGAGAGCAGGAGGAAACTCGTACATATGGAATGTCTAAAATGCATCTGGTCCTGTACTGGGCACACTGTGTACGTCATCTTAGAGAATCATGAAGGTAGGTTTCCATTCCAAATCTAACAGTTTATGGAGCCTAGTTTCCAGGGGAACCCAGGATGACAACCATGGGCTTGAAGGAGAGAGTGCTCAGTGTTCTGAATCTCAGGTCCATTTGTTCCTTCTGGTACTGTTTCCCAGAGTGCCCTTCCCAGAGGGCACCTGGAAGCTTTCCACATCCCCAGGCCCTAAATCATTCCATCCACCCCACTCACATTGGGATCTACATCTCCTCCTACCTAACTGGTAGCCTGGAAGGAATCTGATAAATTCATCATTATTTGAATATTGTCTGAGCACTGTCTGAACATAGAACTTTAAGCTCACATGAAAGGAAGAGATATGTTGGGAATTACTTAGGGTCAGATAGTCTCTAACATGTCTTTGAAATGACATTAAGCAGGCTGCCAGCATCTTTGCCTAATTTTAGGATTAGCTAAAAGGCAGCATGATGTGGCAAAAAAATTTTAAGTGTCAGACTCAGACAGCACTGCCTCTACCAGATACTCACTGCATGAATTTAGGTGAGTTTCTTAGTTTCTCTGACACTCAGTTTATCATCTGTAAAAGAGGATAATGATATGCCTATAGCAATGAGGATTAAATGATTTGATGTTCCATTTTAACACAACATATGCTTTCCTAAAATTTCTCATTCTGTAAAATCATATACTGAAGGATAACAGGGCTTAAGAGAAGGAAAAAAAAAAAAAAAACCAAGATTGTGGGCATACTGAATAGCAGCCAAGCTGAGGGCCTTTTTCTTTCCTGCAGCAGACTTTAATCTTTTCCCACGATTTTGATTATCCCTTGCCTAGAAAATTTCATATGAACCAAGACAACTGCTCTTTAAACTGACATCATTCTCTACCAATCACATGTGAGCTAACTGATATTATAAAAGCAGCGGTTGCAGAACAGACTGTATATAAAATGACTTGGGGAAAAACATATATATTTGTTAGGTTTAATTTTTCTTTGCTTCCTGATTAATTCTTTGGAAGCCATAGAGACTTGATACCAGAAAGAAAATTCTTTTCTTTTTTGTTTCAAGAGACATGTTAGTAGGAACATAAGTTAGCTCAAGGAAAGGGGATACACAAGGAGGACATGGTTCTCTTCATATATTAAGCTCTTTTTTTTTTTAAGATTTATTTATTTATTTATTTGACAGAGAGAGAGAGAACACAAGCAGGGAGGGGAGGAGCAGAGGGAGAGGGAGAAGCAGACTCCTTGCTGAGCAGGGAGCCCGATGCCGGACTGGATCCCAGGACCCCAGGATCAGGACATGAGCCAAAGGCAGACATGTAATGGACTGAGCCACCCAGGTGCCCGATTATTAAGCTTCTATTAAAACATTACACAACCAGGATGGCCTTGGGACCAATCGATCAGGTCTGGTGCTGGAACTGCCAGGGAGGGGCCTGCTGCTCAGGTGTAATCTTATCTTTTTCTTGGGCTTGTAGGAGGTCCCATGCATTCTGAGAGAAGGGCCAGGGTAATAGCTGGGTAGGGGGTTGGCATTGGGAGAATACAGAATTGTGAGTGCTTACCAATAAGTTTTCAATGTTTTATAACATAATTTCCATCTAAGATTAGCCCTATCTTTTGACCTTTCTAGTTGTATCTATCCTTATGACCCCTGGAAACCATGGAACCAAAGGGGCCAGAGTTGCCAACTGTCTAGCTAAGAGGATCACAAGGTTATTCAAACCATTACAGAAAAGACTGCTTTACCTTCCAGGAGCATCCCCTTTCTCATCAAACCACACCTCCTCTCCAGATACACCGATGAACGTGGACTTGATAAGGAAGTCCAGAAGTTTGCTGCCGTCGATGGGCTTCATGGCATCACAGAGGCCCACATGGCCTGGGCAGAGGGCGTGGTGCATGTTCTGCAGCCCGTGAGCCATGGCATAGATGGCATTGATGACAAACCCCATCTTACTGTCCTGGACATAGTTTTCTTCTAAGCTTTCATTGCCTGCAACACAAAAACAGACTGCTTTCAGGGTGGTGATAATGAGGTCTAGGACTGCATGTTTAATTCTCAAATGCTTTTCAGGGGTCTCAGAGGAAGGAAAAGCCAAGTCCACTTGTTCAAGCCTTATACATGTCACTAGTTCTAATTCTATCTGCAAATAGTTTATTCGGTTTTATTTTCTGAATTCTATAATGGTTTCATAACATATGAAACAAACTCCATAGAGGTGTAAATAAAGAACTTTCAAATATTGCAAGGAAATCCTTAAGGAGCAGTGAAAATAACTCATTCCCTCTTGGTTCACAGAGACTTATATTAAAAGTCTCCCTATATCACAGTACTGAAAAGGTGTTTTTTATATCCTCTATGACAATTCACAGTCTAGAATAACTCAGTTTGTGTATTAACTAAACCCTGCTATTTTCTTTTGATGATTTCACTAATTTTATCAACTCTAGGGCCCCAAAAACCCAGCTTAGAAAGAACTAGTTAGTAAGAATCTCTCCTTATATATGGTTGACAGTATAGAAATACTTGGATCAGATTTGCTGATTATTGGAAACTCAGGTAAATTGTTACTTGATGGAAAAGTCATACTACACATTTAACTCTTACCCATGAATTTCAAAAACCCTGCAATCATTTCTACCTATGTCACAGTGATCAAAAGTTCCCCAATTGCCAAGCAAGTTTCCCAAGAAGAGTATCAAGTTAGATATGAGCTCCATATCAGAAGTCTAAGCTTTAGGACTTATGTATGGATAAGAAATTCAGAACCCAATTGGATTTGTTGAAAACAGACAATAGGTTTGAAAAACAAAATAAATTTGGAACACATCACTGGCATAATTCAGGGATTTTGTACTTTTTCCAGAAATTTGCTTCTCCCTATGGTGGGCTTTCCCTCCCCTCTCCCCCAACCTCCACCCCTGACCAATAGTGCTATGTATGCTCCAGGTGCTAGAAGCTGGGAAAGGTCATGAGTTCAGCCATTGATGGGGTTGAGAACAGCAAGGGGCTCCTTGCACCCCCAGTCAGCTGACCTCTTCCTTCCATCCGAGAGAGTCCACTGGACACTAAGTTTCCTGCTACAAAGTAGCAGAGAAGTGAGAGAAGGTTGGAGTGTTTGGAAGAAATGGTAAAGAGCTTTGACTTTGATGTTGAGCTTGAGATGAAATAGGACATTTCTAAAAAGTTATTTTTTTAAGGATTTATTTCTTTATTTGAGAGACAGAGAGCATGAGTGGGAGAGGCAGAGAGATAGGGAAAGAGAATCCCAAGCAGACTCCAAGTTGAGTATGGAGCCAGAGGTGGGGCTTAATCTTACAAGCCTGAGATCACGACCTGAGCCCAAACCAAGAGACACATGCTTAACTGACTACACCACCCAGTCATCCCTAAAAAGTTATTTTTAAAAGCTTAACAATTTAAATATATTTTTTAAAGATTTTATTTATTTATTTATTTATTTATTTATTTATTTATTTATTTATTTATTTATTTGTGTGTGTGAGAGAGAGAGCACAAGCAGAGGGAGAGGCAGGCTCCCTGCTGAGCAAGGAGCCTGGGACTTGATCCCAGGAACGTGGGATCATGACTTGAGCCGAAGGCAGATGCTTAACCAACTGAGCCAACCAGCCGTCCTCCCTTGTCTTTTTTTACATTATAAATTTTATATCATGCATAACCAACCCTTATATGTTATAGGTATGTTGTTTTCCTAAAATTTCAATTTTATCTTAGATTTAAAAAAATCTTTTTTCTTATTTGTTTCCCTCTCTTACCCACATCTAAACACTACATTGTCATTCTGATATTATTCCCACTCTACTAATTATTTTATTTTACAATTCTGCTTTATTTAAAATTTCTTGATGTTTTGATCAGAAAAAACAGGGCTTAAAACATACATTCTGTTACAAGACAGGCTCCATCACCTACTTGGGGTTAAATACAAGTAAATCTATCAGATATTTATTCTGTGTTATCGTATCCCTAACACTGTGTGAATACATAATGGCATGCTATGGGGTACAAAAAGTTAATAAACTGATATTCGTACCCAAAGAAGTTTATAGTCTAGATGAGGTGATGGGACATATTCACATGATTCAATTAGGTAACATGACCTGAGAGTATATAATATAACAACAAGATAGGCTGAAATAATGATATGTTCAATTGTGAGACACAGAAAGTGACAGGAAAGGGAAGTCCATGCTATAAAAAAATGTGAATGTGCTAATTGTGAACTTCAGATTCACACAGGAAGCGAGTGCAGAGGGCCCTGCAGCCTTGCTCTCAGTGGAGGGATTTTCAGAAGAGGACCTGATCCTGGCAGAATCTAGACACCTACATGACTGGATTTCAAGGAATTGCCAAGAATTTTCCAACAGCTATCTTGGAATATTTGGTAGAAAGTTCTCACCCCAGAGCCCACTTAGAACCATGCCCCACCCTGCCTGTAGGGGTTGTACCAGCCCAGAGAGAACCCACCAGCAGAGGAAGAATCAACCTCTATAGAATAAGACAATATTGTGTTTTTATACTTAATATTTTTTTCTAGCTGGGAACAAATGGATAGTGAACAAGAAACAATGGGAAAGGTATTGTATAAATGAAGAGAGACTAGTTTACTCTTTTGCATGTGTATGTGTCTGTATAGTTTAAAATCCTATTAATAAATTCAGAAACCTGGGGCACCTGGGTGGTTCAGTCATTAAGCGTCTGCCTTCGGCCCAGGTCATGATCCCAGCGTCCTGGGATCGAGCCCCGCATCGGGCTCCCTGCTCAGTGGGAAGCCTGCTTCTCCCTCTCCCACTCCCCCTGCTTGTGTTCCCTCTCTCACTGTGTCTCTATCAAATAAATAAATAAAATCTTTAAAAAAAAAGAGAGAGACAGCATGAATTTCCATCTCTAGTGTGTTGCTTACTAGTTATGGAGCTGGGAGCAAGGTCAGTTTCTTAATACCCTTTTCATAAGATTTGAAGGGAGGTAAGCAGAGTATAAGTACGTAGATTTCAGTTTGTCCCATTTTCTCTTAAAAGAAAGCTTTCTAACCTCAAACATGTTTAGTTTTGAAAATGATTTTGAGCTTGTGGTAAGTGGCAGTAAAAAAAATATAATCTGGGCAACAACTGCCCTTGAAGGATGGCCGTAAAGTCAGCTGGTTTGTTGAAAAGTAGGCCTTCAGCATCTGTGATGACTTGGAAATCAGAAAAGATCATAGAAGTAGAGTGGAGACAGCACACTGTCCAGTTAACATTTCAGAGAAATAAACATTTCTTCACTTCTTAAATATTCCTTAGATCACTACAGTATTTATTGTGATGGTAGATTTTATGAGAGCTAGTTGTCTTCTCCATGGGGGTCTCTTATCCACTTTCTGTAGTTGTGTATCAGCCTTGACAAATGATCACAGTTATCAGCTTAAAATAATACCCACTTCTTATCACACAGTTCTGTAGGTCAGAGGGCTCAGTATAGCATGGCTCAGTTGGGTCTTGTGTAGCATCTCATAAGAATCTGGGGATGAATCCTTACCAAGCTCATTTAGGTTGCTGGCTGAATTCTGTTCTTTGTAGCTATAGGACTGGGGTCCTTGTTTCTCTGCTACCTGTCAGCAGTTATTCCTATAAGATTTCTACATACTTTTTCACACAGTCCATATGGCCACTCTGACAAAGATGGGTAGAGTCCCTCTCATGCTTTAAATCTCTCCAACTTATCCTTTTGCCACATTTTTCTGTTTTTAAGGCTCATGTGGTTTAGATTGGGTCCACCTGGATAATCCAAAAAAAAAAAAAATCCCCTTATTTTTAAGGCCCTTTAACCTTAATTATCTCTGCAAAATATCTTCGCCATGCAACATAACATTCAAAGGTTGCAGAGATTCGGACATTTGCAGGGGGCCATTCTGCCTACCACAAAAAGTTAAAAGCTATTATTCCTTATCTATTTTCAGAGCATATTGTCTTCCTAAAAAAACACTCTTATTTCAGTTAAATGATCTTGGTTACCCATGCCATCTAATAGGCTTGGAATGTAATCTCTCAGAGAGTAGTTCCTGGCACTTAACAGACACTGATTTGCCTCAAATATGTGCTTATTTATTTTGGATTCTCACCTAACACAAGTGACAAGTGTTTCTCCCCATCTCTGTTATGGTTCTCAGTTGTAGGATCTATTTTCTAGATTACCAAATAGGAAAAAAAAAAAAAAAGTATTTCTATTGATAACTATGCTTCATTAAACCTAAATATTTTTCTGTATGTATTATTTGGGACAATGATTAGGAAAGAAATTAGAAATGAATTGTACTACATTTCCTGATAATGTGGGCAAACATAGATGCTACATCTTCTGGTGTCATCAGTAGGATCAGCTGGTAGGAGAGACTCTGGTTTCCTGATGAGGGACTGGTCCTGTCATTGAGGATGTGTGGCTCCCAGGAAGGAGTTAAGCTCCTCCTCATATGGGTGCAAATAATGGCTGCAATGGCTGTGAATGAATCCAAAGAAACCAGAGACAAAAGCCTAAATCCTGAGGAGCTGATTCTTGTATCCATGTTTTATTACTGGTCATATTTTTTTTACCCAGTTCAAGAAAATAATCACTGATTCATTCTTTATCTTTCCAATATTTATTCCCTTTAAGTCTAGAAAGACACAATGGGGAAAAGTCAGATCACACATTCTTATTATAAAATTCTTGTTCTTCAGGCAGATTTTCTCTTCCTCTCTTTGGCTCACTTCTCCTTCAACCATTTCACTGCTAATTAGGATTTCTAACAAGAATGAACAGAAGTAAAGAAGAAAATGCACAGGTTCATCTGACCCTAATTACTGGTGTGAAGTTTGGGGAACGAGAAGGTGAAAACCAATGACCAGAAAGTTGGACTCTTTCATCATCCTTGCTAAATGCCAGTGACAGTCATTGATAAACTGAGTGGCCTCATTCTCAACCTATGGATTACCTTTAATATAAACATCTGGGCATAA